ATGCGCGCAAGGTATCACCGCAACACAGCAGAGACCGGGCAGCGCAGCACAGTGCAGTGCAGTGCACATCTCCCTCCCTCCCTCCCTCGCACACACTGCATCTGTGATGTAAGCCGACACAACCTGACCCAGTCCAGCACAGCTCAGCTTGAGTGCGTCGAAAAGAAAAAGTTCTGCCCGATGTAGTGCAAGACAAGTGAAGATTGATCGTTGGGCCTGGCCGCTCTTTCAGACAGACAGACAGCCAACCTTCATTCTTCGTTGACTCATTTCGTAAGTGTTAAGTAAGCTTGACACACATACTCCTGCATATTATCACTTTGCTGACTGTAGCTTTTGGTGCATGGAGTTAGGAGGTTTTATTTTGTTTGATATGACAGTCTTGAAAGATGTGCGGGCTTTAGGGTTGCAGACTGAGAAGTGGCCGAATGGTCGGTTACGTAAAAACTGTATTTTGAGTATTAGTAGTCTTTTGTAGTGGTTTATGGGATTGAAGTAAGTTTGGTTTGTTCTGTTATGGTTCTGTATGTATGTCTTGTGGTTATGGTTTTGGTTCTGCTGTTGTTAGTTTGTGATTATCTGCCTGAAATTGGGTTGACTGCTAGATCTGGATAATAATAGTGGTGTAGACTTCGGATGCATGATGAAGACAATAGATGGACCTCGTATATTCTGACAATGGCAGATAGCAAACAGATCCATATTGAATGTAAATGTTTGTTTGTAGACAGTAAACACTGTTATCATCATGTGCTGATAAGGTCACGTGCCGGCCGGATTTGCTGGAAATGCGGCATGATCCATGACATCGACGCCGATTTCATCATCAATCGCAATCCCAATAAGCTATTGAGTTCCTGAAACAAGGCAGGAAAATGCATCGCAGCTGATTAATACCCCTTCAAATTTGCATCATTGCTCTCCCCGTCATCCCAGAATGAGCTATAGCTAAGCTCCATATTTTACAACATGGCAGCTCACAGAACATGGCTCCTCCGCTCAATTCCTCGCATTCTCCCCCAACACTCCTCTGTCCGATTACGTCCTCTGGCTAGGACACCGGCTTACGCTCTGAAAGTTTGGTCTCAGCGGTATAATAGCACCGAGGCAGACTCCAAGCGATCAGAGTATCATCAGCAAACGCCACTGCCCGATCATATCTCCGAACCGTCACATCTGAATCCGTCCCCCGAAGATTATTCGCGTTTCATCTTTCAGGATAAATGTCGCTCGACGATATATGCCGGTGCCGGTGGGCATGGGTGTGTCTCGTTTCTTCGTGAGAAATATGTCGAAGAGGGTCCGCCGAATGGTGGCGATGGAGGTAGTGGCGGGAGCATCTATATTCAGGCCGTTGAAGGCATGACGAGTCTACATAAGCTTGCTCGTAGGGGGATTATAAAAGCCGGTCGGGGGAAGAACGGGCAGGGGAAAAGCAAAGGAGGCAAACGAGGCAACGATGTCCTGCTCCAGGTTCCTGTCGGCACCGTCGTTCGCGAAGTCGATCGTTACGACCCGGTCACAGAGGAAATCGTGCGCCGGAAACGTGAGCGCAAGGAAGCTGCGGCTGCTGCTGCTGCTGCTGCGGCAGAGGAGGGCGCAGAAGAGAGGGATGAAATAGATGAGCTTGGGTTACCGTCTATACGACATGATCGCTGGGTTCTTTACCCCGGTGCCAACCCATCCGATTACCTGACTACGGTGTTTCCGAATGATCCGCCCCGGAGACAACATATCGCTGCACTGGAACCGCAGGCGCCGATCTACCTCGATCTCTCGCAGCATATGGACAAGCCGATCTTGTTGGCTGCTGGAGGTGCCGGTGGCTTGGGTAACCCACACTTTGTGACTCGCAATATGAACCGGCCCACGTTCGCATCTAGAGGTGAAGGTGGCATGCGCCTGGAGCTTGAGTTTGAGCTGAAGCTGCTTGCGGATGTTGGACTCGTGGGAAAGCCCAATGCAGGAAAGAGTACATTGCTTCGGTCGTTGACCAACAGTCGCACCCGAGTCGGAAACTGGGAGTTCACGACGCTTTCCCCCAATATTGGTACGGTGGTCATCGACAATCATAAAGGGCGACCTTTGGTGGAATCCAAAGGAAAGGCCCGGCGGACGAACTTTACTATTGCCGACATCCCAGGTCTGATCGAGGATGCTCATCTGGATAAGGGCCTTGGCCTAGGGTTCCTACGGCATATCGAGCGCGCTGGTATCCTGGCGTTTGTGGTTGATCTCAGCGCAGGTGACCCTGTGCAAGGACTGAAGGGTCTCTGGCACGAACTGGGCGAATACGAGCGCGTCCGTGACGTCGAAGAGTCAATGAAAGTTGAGGGAGATGATTTAACCTGGAATCCGCCCACTCATGGTCTTCCTGAACTACAATCCGAAAGTGCAATTCAGAAGCTCAACGAGGTTGCGTCAAAAGCTAAAGACGAACTTCCGGCTTTGAATGTTTCCCCAATTCACACCAAGCCATGGTTTGTGGTAGCCACCAAGGCTGATCTCCCGGAGACTCAAGAACGCTTCAAGACACTGCGTGACTATCTTGCCGCCGTTAAGAACGGCGAAGAGGAACATCCGGGCGGACATCCCTATGGACGGAGAGACAAGGTCTGCGCGGTTCCTGTCAGTGCCATTAGGGGCGAGGGAGTTGCGGGCATTCCAAAGCTTGTTGTGGATTTGCTCGATTAAGCAACGGCGACCAGAATTGATAGTACTAAATGTGCCTAAAAGGTGTATATATAAAGAGTTTGTAACATAGGGTCGGAGTTGATGGTTTGGGGGGTGTAATACTAACAGGGAACATGTTTATATGAAGAGAAAACTAGTCTAGTAGCACAATCAATCTCGCTCCACAATCCCTCTTTCTGGTGAAAGTTGAACGCCTTTTCAGCATCTCTAACGTGTAGTTGATGACAATCTCAATAGATTCAAAATTGTCATTCGGAGATAGCGGGGTTTACACGCTAGTCTGGATCGGGATACTTAATTGATCCTCGGAAAAAGGCGCGACCAGAACAACATCAACATTAAACCATCCATCACTCTCTTGAGTCAAGTCCAGCATCTTCATGCAGACATAACCCCTACTCCAATCACATACAATGCGATAAGAAATAACCCGCAAAGAATGCGATACTCCCCAATCCACCTCCAGCTTCCCAAAACTCTCCTCGAGATCCTCAATATCCGCCCCGACGACCCCATCCTCCGCTGCTTTCCGGACAACAACCTCGATACACTTCACGACCACCTTCTCGGCGATCCCGACGGCGCAATCCAGCTAGCCGACTCAAAGCTCCGCGTATTCCCCTTCAAAGATGTCGACATCTGCTGGCGCCGCTACTACACCGACGCATGCATCTTGAAAGCATGTCTGACGATCGCCGAAAACTGCGGATTTCCGCGCTGCGAACGCAACGGACCCCCGAATCTCCCTCCTAGTCCTTCCCCTGCTCCTCCTTCACATCCCGGGTCCACGGCTCTCACTCGCCGGCAAAATATACTGAGGATTATCGACGATATCTGCTCTAACAAGGAACTGATCGAGGTGGACCCGGATGCAGAATGGCTCACGCCTACGATACACATGCTCGACAAGGCATTAATAATGACCGGAGCACCATTGAGGGAAGCATTAGTCCTAGCGGTGATTAATGCGCTGCAGGGTGCGTGTCCGACGACCAAGCGGAACAACTTGACTAAATTCGAGTTCCCCGATGGATTGGACCCCGATGAACTTGCCACTCCGCTCTTCTCTGACGATGCTGCGCCGACGCCTGAGATCTGTTTCCCTATACCCCGAGTATCGAATCTACCGATGTGGGGTACGTCGCCCTCGTCGCCGAATTTCCGTGATCATGCGCGCCAGAAGAAAACACCGCTTGTCATTACCGATGCGGTGAATGACTGGCCGGCTATATCGACGGGGTCGTGGGCGTCCAAGGAGTTCTGGATGCATCGCACTTTTGGTGGAAGGAGACTTGTCCCTGTGGAGATTGGGAGGTCGTATACGGATGAGGACTGGGGACAGCGGTTAATGCCCTTTAAAGACTTCGTGGGGAAGTATCTTGATAGGGATAGACACAGCGATGATGCAGGTCCGACGGGATACTTGGCGCAGCATGATCTGTTTTCTCACATGCCGACTTTATTTAAGGATTTCATGCACCCGGATTACATTCACATTGACGCACCCAAGGCAGAGCCCGGCACCCCAGCCTACATCCGACAGCAGAGAGAGGAAGAGGAACGGAGACGGAAACTAGAAGAAGAGGCCATCTCAATTCAAGAGAAAGAAAAAGGACCCAAATCCGACGCCGACTCCGACTCATCATCCTGCCACGAACCCGACGACGATGGCCCGCACCTCAACATCTGGATGGGACCCTCATGGACAATATCCCCGCTCCACTTCGACACATACCATAACATCTACGTGCAAGTAGTAGGCGAAAAATACTTCCGACTATATTCTCCCCACACACCACTCTCGCAGATCCACCCGAAGGGAAAAGAACCCGTCGTTAGACGAAGGCCCGAGGATGGGCAGGATCCTCATCAGTACACTCAGAATCAGCACTACCACGAGCAAGAAGAACCTGAACTTGTGGATATGTCCAATACCTCGCAGGTTGATCTCGCAGCTATTGAAATGTCCCCTGCTGAGGCGGACTATTGGGAGGAGCTGTGGCCTGGGTTCCTGGATGCGGAGTACGTCGAGACCGTGCTTAAGCCGGGCGATATGTTGTATATTCCCATTGGGTGGTGGCATTATGTCAGGAGTTTGAAGGGTGGGATTGGGGTTAGTTTTTGGTGGGATGGGTGTTAGGTGCATATAGCATTGCTATCTTCACCGCTGATACGAGTTGTATGATAGATTTTGGTTGTATACTAGGGTGCTGGAGCTCGAATTTAAAGTGGTCAGGCCCCAAAAAGGCACTTAATGCCATGTATATACACTGGTTCTAACAGCAGTGTCTACTCGAGTGAGAGGATTAGTTCTGTGCCCTCCTCGCCAACACCAAAGGCTTCCCAGCTTCTATCGAGTCACCCGGTTGAACCAGGATCTTCTCCACGGTAGACCCAGCAGCGAGGGACTCCGTGCGCACGGCAATCTCCAGCTTCATAGCCTCCAGAATAACCACTAGCTGATCATTGTCAAGCTTATCACCTTCCTTGACTTCTACTTTCCAGACATTGGCGTTCAATGGCGCTTCAATGGGGGTGATGTCAGGGTCTAGACCAAAGAGAGTGGCGATTAGCTCTGTCCGTTCTGTTTCGGATTAAGGATTGTGTGAAGGGGGATAGACATACCCTTCAATAGACTCTCAATCGTATCCATCGGGATACCCCGTTCTGCTTTCTCCTTCGCCCACCGCTCAAGCAGTTCTGTCTCGAGCTTGTCCATCTCAGCTTGTGCCTGTCGCTGCTTGCTCCGAATAGCTGCGACTTCGTCCGCGGTGTCACGGAGGAGTTTATTGTGCTCCGCCATGTCGAAGATCACCTCTTCCCATTGGTATTCATACCTGCCGCTGTTGAAGAGAGCGAGCTGCTTCTCGTATTCTTCTTCGGAGACGCGGTAGAAGGTGATCTGGTCGAAGTCTTCGAATAGCCATGGTCTGTTGGCTTCGTAGCCTTTCTTGGAGCCGAGAATGTCGACGCCCGGGATGGTCATGCCGGTCATTTGGTAGCCGCCGGGTGAGTCTACGTTGTATAGTCTGCTTTCTGTTAGCATGTGGGTGTGGGTGTGTATGTGGCTGGTTTGATGCTTACGCCATGCAACTACCGCCCCAGGAGACTGAGCCGGCTGGTGTGTAGACTCTGCTGGGGTTCATCTTTGGGCAATTCATCCGGTAGCGTGGGTCGACAGGGAGGGAGAGCGGGAGACCAGTGAAGAAACCAACTGCTATAACCATGAAGGAGGCGGTTAGGTAGATCCGTTCGAACTTGTCTCTGCTGAAGGCATTGTTCTTCGCTACGAAGTCGATGTTGTCGGGCAAGTAGGAAGCGTAGGGACGCTGCGTCTCCATGTATCGGGTGATTGCGTCTTTTTGTCTCTGGCTCTCGAAGGAGAGAGGGAGCTTGAATAGCCGACTGGGGAACTTCGCTTGGCTGAGATCACCAAGTTTTGTCTCGATGTCACAGAGGTAGGTTAGGAGCTTCTTTTGTGGGATTTTTAGTCCGTCATAGTAGATCATTAAAGCTACGTAGAGTTAGCACATAGTCTTGGATGGATTAGTGTAAGGGAAAGCTTACTATTTCCGCTTCCCATAATTGAGATTAGCCCGTTCGCAAAGGTAATATCGCCAGTTCCTTCAGTCAAAGCTTTCTTTAAAGCAGTAGCTCTACAGCGATGGTTCAGATCAAAGGACCCAGTGCCGTAGTCAACAAGCAGATAGTCGTCGCCGGCCTAACTACATGTCAGCTAAATGAATGTGAGCGACTGAATGAATTTCTGGCTTACCTGACGATATGAAACAAGAGGTTGGCTCCCACTTTCCTGGATCTGGTGTATGACACCCTGTCCACGTTTCTCTGCTGTCAGCTCTGGAGTTAGGTCCCCATTGACGGGCGATATGTTACTGAGATCACCCCTTTGGCAGCCTTGAGCAACCTCTTCGATAAACCGTTCTAGCCCTTTGCGAGCGAATAGAGCATCCTCCAAAGACGTAGCACGGTATTTCAGAGTATCACCTGCTTTTACCTGCCCCAGCTTCCATAGGTCGGCTTTGCAGATTGTATGACTGCTGACGAAACCCCCCAGGTCAGGCGCATCCACGGGGAATATGACCGGGTCATCACCCGTCCAATTGAGAGATCCTATTGCATAGCCGTACTCGATCAGATTAGAAGGATGCGCACCGCCTTCACCACCATCTGTGCGAGCCCAAGTAGGCTTCGGGCCTAGCAGACGGATGCCTCCTCTAGCGGCGTTGTGCGATACTTTGAAGCTTGCGCTATAGAGCATGTCAATGCTGTCGGGAACGAGATACCCCTGATCATACGGTCCTGGCATGGCCATAAACTCCCAGTGATCAGGGTACTGAGGAATAAGATGCTGCGGTAAGCGGAGGTCACCGCTCACTTCTGGTACTTGGGTAGTAATCGAAAGAAGGTCACCAGAGGCAAGCTGTCTGCCTTGATAGCCCCCGACGCCAACACCTGGAGTGGTTGATTTGGATCCAAACCACTCTGCGACATTCAAGAACCCTCCAAAGACACCAAGGTAAGCTCTGCAGCCGTTACCCGTTGTTTTCCCGATTTTCAGACGCTGGCCAGCTGAGACCTTCACCCTCGACCACATCGGGAGGGGTGCGTCGTCAAGCTTAGCTTCGATTGGAGCACCACATAATGAGATCAGTGCTGGCCCCAGAAATCGTAGTTCCGGTCCACTCAAGGTTATTTCCAAGGCCTCCAGACCCATAGGGTTTCCAACAAGTGCATTCGCAATGCGGAAGGCCATGGGATCCATCGGCCCCGAATGGCAAAAACCCCTTCCCAAGGTTGGACGGCCAGGCCAATCTTCAATGAGTGTATATGCACCGCCAGAAATAACATCAATAGCAGACAGTTGGTAGTTGAAGTCATTAAGAAAGCGAGTCAATGTTCTCCCAGCGACGAAAGTGTCATCCGCAAGAACATCAGCCAGGAACGCCAGGTTTGTTGGAGGGCCACAGATACGTGACTCTGTTAATATTGTCTTCAATCCTTCAATAGTCTGCTGTCTGCTTTGAGAGTGATACATAACCTTCGCAAGCAGCGGGTCTGAGAATCTTGCGTTAGTAATTTCCTGCAGAAGTATAGCTCTGGCAGCCTACCGTAGTTTGCTGACACCTTAACACCCCTATAAACCCATGTGTCGATTCTAGACCCCGGCAGTTCCTTCCATTCTACCGTCTGCAGTATACCAGGGCAGGGAGCAAAATCTTTGGCCGGATTTTCGGCGTAAACTCTAGCTTCGATGGCGGCACCTGAAGGCGCGCTTACTGCAAGGCTTGCCAGGTACGCTGCGTCAAGGCCTTTTCTTCCTGAGAGTTGAGCATTGGCCTGTTTTAACATCAAGTCCACCAGGTCAATGTCGTAGCATAGCTCCGTTATGCCATGCTCGACCTGGAGGCGTGTATTCATCTCAAGGAAGAAGAATGCGCCAGTTTCGTCATCTACAAGGTATTCGATCGTCCCAGCCGATCCATACTTAATTGACTCCGCAAGGCGGACGGCCGCGTCACCCAATCTCTCCCGTAGCCCAGGATTTCTGGTAACAAACGGACTTGGGCATTCTTCTATAACCTTTTGATGTCTCCTCTGAATGGAGCATTCACGTTCACCGAAGTATATGGCCTTACCATCCCCGTTTCCGAACACTTGTACTTCAATATGATGACTTGACGGATAGTAGCGTTCGATGAAGACGCCGTCATTCTTGAACAAGGCCCCGCCCCTAGATTTAACGGTGGCGAAAGAGTCACGGACTTCTTTCTCTGTGTTGCATGTAAGTAAGCCCATTCCGCCACCCCCCGCTGTGGCTTTCAGCATGACCTATGTCGATGTCAGCTCCATTACCTAGCAGATGAGGGCTGAGTAAGTGTACTGGAAACCCAAGTTCTTTCGCTATTGTGACAGCATCATCCTCGCTCTTTACCAGTCCCTTCGAGCCTGGCACAATAGGAACACCGGCTTTTGTAGCAAGATCTCGTGCAGTGTGCTTGAGTCCGAAGGCTTCGATACTCTCCGGTGAAGGACCCACGAAGGCTATGCCTGAGCTAGAAGCAGCTCGTGCAAAGTCCGCGTTTTCGGATAGGAATCCGTATCCTGGTATGATTGCATCTGCTTTGTATTTCTTCGCGATATCGATTATTTGTTCTCTGTAGACGTCAAAATGTCACCATTAATCTTTGTTTTGGCTTAGATCAGGTGGGATACTGCTCACCCGTCAATATAGGCCTTGGATGGTGCCCCTTGTAAAAGGACGGCCTCATCTGCCAGGTGTACATGGGTAGAAGCAGCATCCGGTTCAGTATAGACCACCACTGTCCGGAGATTCAGCTTCCTGTAGGACATTAGACGCTTATCTTAACGTAATCTGATAATAATTGCTCGTACTTCGCTGATTTCAGAATTCTGACGGCGATTTCGCCGCGGTTGGCGACTAGCAATGTCTTCAGGGACTCCATTGTGAGTAACTGGTGAAAGGTCGGGGACGCAGGGTTCCTTTGGGCGGGATCCTCCTAATTTATAAGGAGAAGCCCAAGCTTTTATCAGCCTTTGTACTCATCCAAGCACTGGTACCCGATTTGGGGAACCGGATGATAAGAGGTATGATGTAGGATGGATCGACAATCGTTGGAGAGTTGGAGAATGTGCGGGGTCAGTCTTGGGTTCGCTGATAAGCCAGATATGGATTTTCTTGTCACAAGTAAACCTCAAGAGGTATTTGTAGAAGAAGCTAAAACATTTGCATAATTGCTATTGCTATAATGGCTCTGATAGGCTGCCTTTATTTGTATTGTGGGATTCATATCACGGTATGTGTTCTCGTCCTGGCCCTTCTAGTTTATGATCCGGGGTAACGGAGGAGTTCAGCGGCTTCCCGAATTTTGGGAACACGCCAAAGTCGGGACCCATTGCTATAAGCTTCCATAAGCTAAGATTGTCTTGGTTCTCGAATATGATTGCTCAGTATGGCCGCTGGTGGTTCGCTATTGAATGAACCATCCAAAGTAAGTTGCTGGGTGGCGCCGTTACCCCGCCATTGAACGCCATGAGGTGGCTGGGCTTGGAGTCAGGCCCTTTTGTATTAGCAGTGAAGAACCCTTGGGAAGGTTTGGGGTATCGGGATCGCGTGGTCTCGTCATGGATGCTGTTGTGGGCGATTGTCGATACTAAGGTAGTACTAAACAGGCGTGTCCCGGGTTTGCAATGACCTTCAATCGTGGGAATATATACTTACCGCTTACACTGCCGGGGCGTATAGCAGTAACATCGATTCCCAATTCAGGGGGGAACGATAAGTGTTAGTGCCATAATATTTCCATTGGATGACGGTACGGATTAGAACGTAGCTGCAAAAATTAAAACTAAACCTGGGAACCATTGGGATAGAATTATGTCGGGGACAAGCTACTACTATCCCAGAGAGGTGATTTGAGACATTCTAAAAGTAGCATCCGCTATGCGCTAGCCTGATTTAGCAAAAACAGGCACCGTTCTTCAACAAGATCCGATATGGTGTAGTGGCTAACATCGCCGTCTCTCACACGGCAGCCGGGGGTTCGATTCCCCCTATCGGAGCTCAAAATTCCTTTTTTTGCTTTTTGCTTATCCTTTCTGCCTCCCCCATATGCCTACACCTACTGTTCCAAATATACATTCCCCCCCCCCTCCTTTTCAGACTAAACATGTTCCTTGGCTTCATTAGCTTCATGTTGCCATGAAAAGGCTGAACATGTTGAATTAACAGTCTTAAATCATCTTTTCGAGGTGACATGTTTACCCGTCCATCCCACTGGTTGATTGCACATTGAGGTGTGTGTCACCGTGTGCATAGGTAGTAAGCGGCCACCTGGTTGCATTGCATGTGCTTGTTGCTTGCATGCATGGCACAATTCCGCGGAAGTCCATGCAACTGTGTTGACCCTCCTCACAGTTGACTCTTGGGCATTGTATAGTCTTCAAGACCAGTAGATAGCATTGTACCTATCCATTACTGGAAAGATATATAGTTTGGCCCATTCCACTTAGCCCTACAGCTTATCAAAATCAAAGAACTACTTATCTATGTACCTTGTCCCCACTATGAAGCCATCATCCCCACCACATGTGCACATGGTAGACTTTATAGCCGGCAGCTAAACCTTCGGGATGTAGCTTGTACGCTAGCCGGGGATCGCGACCTGGTCGCAGTTCCTGAGACATCCGGGTAATTGATATATGTAATGGCTTATCAGTTTGATCTAAATCCAGTAACTGTTGTTATTCGACTTCGCATATCGTCGCCTTCTGCGATTATTGACGGTGAAGTTGAAGTGCCGGTGACGGAGGTTGACTGACCATCTGTCTTGACCATCACTCAGCTAATTGATCCACAATAACAATGATATCATGTTATGTTGCTGTTAGCATTGGTCTGAATTGTATAACAACGGATCAGACACTCCTTTAGACTAGCATCTGCTCACCGTTATTCAGTCCTTTGCATCCTCCCAGCAACAGATGATCCATGGTGAGGGAGGTGGGGCAGTGGTCCGATATCGTCGGCGCCACGATGATTCATACTTATTTGCCTGATTGGGTTAAGCGGCACGCCCAATGGGCACCCCGCACTGACTGGGCGTAAACCGAAAAAGGGCAAGCGTTGTCAATGGAAGGGCGTGCAGGCGCGCAGTGATCCAGTTTTCTCCCTCGTCTCCCTTCAGTTCTTACGACTACGCTGCCTTCCTCACCTGCCGTTGTTCATGGACTGGGTCAATCATCGGCCAAGCCGACTGGACCGAACACGATGGACATGCATCAGTCTCACCCTTGGAAAACTGCTAGTGCTTTCAGTCGAGCTCTTACCACCCCCCTAAAGGTTAGGTCCACGATGGATATTCCTACTGGATGAATGGAACCTGCTAGCATCAGTGCCGGCAGGGTTCTCCGTTCCGGTATGCTTTTGGTACCCCAGACGAAAAACATAGTCTACCTTGGATCCTGGCTCCCTCCGCTTCTCTCTTGCTTATTCTAAGTCTTGGTCCTCCATCTCTTCGCCATAACTTCTCTGTTCCCAGTGTTTCGACCTAGGACGAGACTACTTTCGTGTGTCATACTGTAACCATAAATTGGAACCCCCCTTCATCATAGATTCAAGCCCCATCAAGTACTCCAGACAAGAATGGAGTACTTCGACTTCGATGAAGCCTCATGTGGTTCCAACGTGCGTGAAGATGATGTTGCCTCGGACAATCTCGAGTTCGACGAGAACGAGGCCACTGAAAATTACAACGCCATCTTCCAGGAACAGAGCCTAGAGTTTCCCAACGACAACGAGCTACCGGAGCAAGATGCCGGTGAACTAGACAACGGCGTCTATCCCATGAGTCGTGCCGAGGAGCCATGCGACTTTTGCAGGCACATGAATCTGGATTGCTTTGTCGCAAAGAGTGGAGTGATGCGTCCAATTGGTTGTACTTGCTGCATTTCGCTTTATCGCGAATGCAGCTTCACCCACGCTCGAGCACCCGGCAAGTTCTTGGATACCTTACATCCAATCTCCGAGAATACCTACATCCATACCGGTGGTTTGACCGGAAAGAAGGCGCTCAAATCGCTGTCCTTCATTGCTGAAGATGATGGCCGAGCGAGGAAGAGCAAGTCAAGACTGGCGCGGGAAGCGGTCCGCATCCTCAAAGCATGGCTCCAGGAACATTGGGAGCACCCCTATCCAACAGAGCAGGAAAAGGACGAGTTACAGCAACGCACAGGTCTGAAGAGGATGCAAATCTCCAACTGGCTTGCTAACGCTCGGAGACGTGGTAAAGTCCCTCCTGGGCCGCGCAACTCTTCCGCGACGGGCGCAATCAACATTCCCGGACAAAAAGGCGTGGACGTCACTTACATGACGCCCATCGAGCGTTGGAAGCACTCGCCCCCGGAAAACGAACCCGCTGCCACCTCTGATATTCTGCGAGCCCTGGTGACGACCGACCTGAATCATGACCGACAGCGCGCATCCAGACCAGGTCACGTGCGTTCCCTTTCCCGGAAGACTGGGTCTAGCAATGACTCAAGCCATGCCAACTCCAATTTGTTCCATGCCCCCTCGGTCAGTAGTCAGGAAACAAGTCAATCGGCCACTCGTTCTTCAATATCAGACCTCTCTTTTGCCTCTGCCTTCTCCCACCGATCCTCTCTCGGTTCCTTCGGCTCTATGGAGCGGAAGGAACGCCGTCGCCGGCGCAAGCCCTCACTTCCCGTCAACACCTTCAATCAACACAAGGCACGCAATGCCCGCATATACCAATGTACTTTCTGTACCGACTGCTTCCAAACCAAGTATGACTGGCAACGCCATGAGAAGTCACTACACTTGGCTCTCGAAAAGTGGACCTGCTCGCCTTTGGGGGGAGTGGCCTTCATAGATGGCGCCAACCGTTGTGTATTCTGCATGGCTGTTGACCCCAACAACGATCATTTAGAATCACACAATTACAGTATCTGTCAAGAGAAGACACCCGCAGAGCGATCCTTTTACCGGAAGGATCATCTCAACCAGCACTTGAGACTGATGCACAACGTCAAGTTTAACTCATCCATGAACGCCTGGAGGAGCACTCTGACAGAATTCAAATCCCGGTGTGGATTCTGCGGGCTGAGTTTAACAACTTGGAAAGACCGAGTTGACCATTTGGCTTCCCATTTCAAGAACGGCAGTACCATGGCGCAGTGGCAGGGCGATTGGGGGTTTGAACCCTTTATTCAGGGTCTGGTCGAAAATGCAATGCCACCATATCTCATTGGCGGCGAGCAGAAGACTCTGAATCCTTTCAGGCCACCCAATGCTGCACAATCAACTAATCTGCTTCAACCAGAAGATGCGAATTGCTATAGGCGCCTGCAGCGTGAACTCACCGCATATATCCACAACCAGAGGGCCGCTGGTACCATCCCGACAGATCAAATGATACAGGACGAAGGCCGGCGAATCATATATGGAAGCGACGACCCATGGAATCAAACGTGCGCCGATAACTCAACTTGGCTCAGCCTGCTGAAGCGAGACACAGGACTCGAAGTTCTCCCTGGGTCAGAGCACATTCAACTATCCGACTTGGGTATGCGACCGCCATTTGCTGCTGCTGACGGCCTAAGACAGGCCCCAGCCGAAACCAGCATGTTATCCAGTCCTCTCTACCCCAGACAGGGCACATTCAGTCCCGTGACCCCCAACTCTGGACTCCAGAGCCCCGCCTTTATAGGGCACGGTCGGTCTTCCTTTGCTGCGAGTGCTCCTGGGAGCTCGACCGGCAGCTATGCCGAAAGTTCTGGCTTTCTCCCGTCTCGGCCCTATTCCAGGCTGTCGGCTGACGTGGGGAGTACCCTGTCTGCTGGCATTGCGTCCCTCAACACGCCTTTGAGCGGATCTGTCGACCAATTCGTGCAAATGGGGTTCGATCCCGAGTTCTTACAACAACTG